TAAAAAATATGAATATAAGTAGTTGATATACCTCAAGTAATCCTTCCTTCAATTCATTTGCATACTTGCCTGTGAGAAATATGGCTTCGCGGTCCCAGAGCAATAGTGAAACAGATGCAGTAGTGTCCATGACCCTAACCCGAAGCCTGTACCTAAATGCACGTTTGATTTGAGATATAAATATACGTTTTGATGGATTAAGGAAATAGAGCTTTTTGATTACCTATTCACAGCTGAGTAATCTTCATTTTTACATTTTGGGTTTGTGCAAGAATAAATGTTTCCCAGTTTATCGACCTTCTTTTGACACTTTTTGCAGCTGATATATGACCACCCTCTTTGAAGTTCTAAATTCAATACTTGCAACAATCCAACAGGGACCTTCCTGTTTAATAAATTGATAAAACTTTATATAGTGAAGTGAGATAGTCTATATGTGCCAATCGGGATTGATATAAATTAGGAATATTTTATATTAGAAATATTCTAGTGCTGATACATACAACTTAGTTGTACAAAGATTAAAGAACGTAGTTAAACCAAGTGAATGACCAACTACAAAAACGTATTCATAGACATAGAGAGTCTCCACGTATAATATGTTGGTCTTCGGTAATGTTATGTGTTTCTCAGTATTTATCTTTGGCAGCATTAATGGACCAGGAGAAGTATCTCTTAGCAGCCCGTAGGTACAGAAATGGTGCTCAAATTACGTTATAAAAATGTTTGGTTTAGCAATGCAAAAGTTTTAAACAGTACTTATAAACAGGCAAAATTTTATAGCATAATTAATTTTTCTTATACAGCAATACAATAATGAAAAAAAGTTTCATGATTTTTAAATTTTCTCAACATAGATAAAACATATTAGCAAAATAGTTATAATTATGCACAAGATAGTTTACTTACTTCCATGGACTCCACTAATTCGCCAATTGTTTTAACTTGAACAACGCCTTTTGCTAATTCATCCGAGATGGAGTAACTTTGTTGAGAGATGGTTTGAGTCAATCTTTCAGAGTAATTATCTCGAACAGAAAGTAAACTGTATTAAAGAAAGAGTAAAACAATCAGAGGTATAGTTCAAAATATATATTTGAGTATAGTTGGTGGGAAAAATATGTATATTAAACCGTGTTTTAAACTCGTTAGATTGAGGAAAATTTTGATTAATCCACAGCTTGGATGTATTCCAAGTATTGCGCACAGAATATGAATCTGCGAAACAACGTATATATTAGATGTAATGAATAACTTTTCACCAAATAAAGACATGTTAATAATATAATTTTACCTTGAAATTTATGTGCTTTTATAAGCTGCATAACAACAACGAACTTAGCAGGTGAGGTACAATTTCATCAACAAATTCGCCCCAGAATGTAGCAGACAACTTGTTCCTCCTATTAAAAAAATAGATATATAAATTTTAGTTGATGGAATTGCCAAATTCATTAAAAAGCAGTGGATTGAGTATTTGTTCTTACTCATCATCTTCTAGTTCGACATTCATAAATTTCCTAGAAACTCCAGCTTGTATGTGCGTTTTTACCTCACTAAAACCGACGATTTCTCCAATCACATCTAAAGAATAAGAAGATATTAAAATAAGAGGCAGAAAAAGATCTATTAGAAATTTGAGGTAAAAGTTATTATTACCGAATAATTCAGTCTCGTCCACATCAATCTTATTTATCAATTGATCATATGGCCGCAGAACGAAGATATCCATTGGGAAAAGTTGATCAGATGTTTCAACCACTGTTGTCTGTTGAGTAAATGTGAGCCTTAAGTTATGTTTTGTGGTTTTGAACTTCTCTTTATTTTGACAAACGATAAAGTTCGCCATAACATATAATCCATGCTCATTAAGTTGTGTTTTGAAAAGGTGCAGCACTGACTTGCCAATAGAAGCTTGTATCCGATCGCCCTTCAAAGAAATCACATGAAATACATATAGTTGAACTTACAACGAACAACTCAAATATATTTTTCTAAATATAAGTCAATGTGAAAATTCTTCGAGTTAATAAGTTGGAAAGAATTGCATTCGGATGTTACGTTCTGACAGTTGGCTATCTAACAGGTCCCTCTACCTTAACTGAATGGTTTAGTTTTGGCAAATTTGAAATTTGAAAATGTTGGTAAATTTTTTAACTAAAAAGAACCTCAGTTTAAGCAGAAGTCAGGCAAATATGCAAATAGTGATAAAAGTTCATACCTTCGTTATCTTAAGTAGTCGCTGGGATTGTTATATTATTTTCTTTTCCTTTTTCNGTAGGAACAAAGGGTCCTTCACAGATGACATCCCATAGCTCGAACTCGTCAGCCATGATGAAGTCGTGCATCCTAGTCTTCCACCATCCATAATATTGGCCGTTGAACCTTGGTGGTCTGTAAGTAGACTGGCCTTCTTCGAAGTTTGGCGGAGCAGCCATGAGGACTCCCTTCTAGGTGGTAGACAAAAAAGTAAAGAGCATTCAAAGAGAGCACGGCTAAAGAAAAAAAAACAGTGCAAGAAAAAAAAAACAACATATATTTATATATACTGTTGCAATGAATATATTGTAAGACAAAAAAGTGAATTGTTGTAGTATCTTGTAATCTTGTAGAACCAATCAAGAAAGTAGCTTTAAAAATGTGTGAAGAACATAACAACAATTCCAGATTTTGCAACTTGAAAACAGATACGTAAAATAAATTAGTAAGTAAAAAATTGATTTTTAATACCTTTTCATCTTGTAGAACCAATTCAATGGAGAAAGTAGTGTCTGGATTGTAACGATCTGGGACTTCCCAAAGACGAACAACCCGAACTTTCAACCTCCATTGCATTTTTGAAATTGTTATATCCTTGATGAAATCAGTGTGAGTAGCCATAATTTGCAGAATCCTTTTGTTTTTTTGTTGAATTTCTGATATACGCTTGCCTTTGGTTTATGTATAGAGTATCAATGGAAGATATATAAGTTGGTATAGTCAGTTTTGAGCAGTTGAAGATGATTGCCGATCGTGTATAGGTTCAGATAGCGTAGGTTTAGATAAAATCTAAAAAACGTGTATATTCACGTTCACATGTAGATACGGTACTTGTTATTTAAAAAAAGAAAAACCTAAAAGAAAAGAGAAAAACGTGATAGACTTAGTTGACAAAAGTAGTTATTGAATTATGTAGGATTCCCCAAAACAGAAGTCTAATAGGATGCTTGTAACGTAGTAATTCTTTAAAAATGGAATAACTGTCGGTTTTATATGATTTTTTCCCCAAATAATATATTAGTTCCTATTTTTGTGGAGGTTTGTCTTAAAGGACCAATTGTCTTATTTTCATGCTGCCACTTGTCAAAAAAAGGGGGCTTCTGCCTCTGCTTTTATTAATAGATAGATTATAAAAAATGATAAATGGGATCTCACTGGTATCTCTTTTGACATTCCTAGTATCCTAATGGGAAAAATTATTGCAACCCCTACCCCTAATAAGTTTTTCAAAAGGGATACTATGACCTGAGGTATCACTTCCAGTGGTCACTTCTCTACTAAATCATGCTACACTCTCATAAATCCTTTTACCACTCCTAAATTAAATTTTGACTGGATTTGGGATCTACAATGCACAAACAAAATCAAATTCTTCTTGTGGAAATGCATGCACAATCACATCTCATGCAGAGCTTTCCTATCCCACATTGACATGAACATAGACAAGGTTTGCACCATTTTGTAGAAATAACTAAGAAAATGCACAACACATCTTCATCTACTACTGCCCCAGCACTCAATCTTTCTGGAAAAATATGGGCATCCCAAATATCCAGTTAAAAGAAGGTACCCATTGGTTAATGAGCCTAAAAGAGATTTTTATTCAAAAAAATTTTTATTCAAATAACCGGAGGAGCATTCTTCCTTTCGCCATTTGGAATATCTGGAAGAATAGAAATAACAACAACATAAATAACCTTAACTATAAGGTTCATCACACCGACATTCTTCATCAAGCTTGGGAATACAACTTCTTCACGGAGAAAAACCCCTTCAAAGAAAGCAGGATTTTAATTGAGATCAGATGGAGCAAACCACCACAAAATACAATCAAGCTGAATATTGATGGAGCTTTCTCCAAGTATACACTCGAAGCTGGCCTTGGTGGTGTTTTCAGAAACAATAATGGAGACTGGATCTTTGGCTACTACAAGTCAACCTATGCTTCATCGGTCACACATTGTGAACTAAAGGCTCTGCATGAAGGATTAAAAATTGTTCAGGAACTCGGTCTTCCTAACATTGAGATAGAGACAGACTCAACGGATACTATATCATTACTCAATGAAAATAACCCTAACTTCTCTAATCTAATTTTTGAATGCAGGTCATTAATGCACCAGTTGAAGCATCCAATCCTGAGGCATAACTTCAGGGAAGGAAATGTGATGGCCCATCTCTTGGCGAAGGAAGCAGTGAAAAGCTTTAAATTTTCAAAACGTGTTTACCATGCACGTCCACCTTGTTTTGCTGAACCTCAATTGCTAAAGGACAAGTATGGAGATAGTATTAGCTCTAAGTATGTTGTTACTACTGTTTGTGAAAAACTAGCCAACTTTGGCAATGAAAATATCCTTAGGGACTATGTAAGAACTCTGTAATCTTTTTGTTATTAGTAATATAATATTATCTTTTACTTCAAAAAAAAAAGAGTTTTTTATATAACCCAGAAAATCTTCAAGAATTAGTGGCACGCAATACAAAACACAGTGACTAATAAACCCGCGTCGCTATCCTTTTTCCACTTAGGCTAGACATCCGCGTCGCTATCCTTTTTCCACTCAGCTAGACATTTCATATGTTACGCTCTTACCACTAGACCAAAACTCTGAGTAAGATAATAGCTAACTTTTGACAAAGGAATACTCAAATATGAAAAGTTCATCTAACAATAAAAACCGAGATATATGTTTCCCTACCAGAGTTAATATAATAGAACATCTTCACGTCATAAGATGAGGTTTACTTGATCACTTTTCACAACCTTCTATAAAAATCAGAAAACGGAGAGCAGAAACCACACAGAATCAACCAAAAGCACAAGATAATGGTATTCCTGATTAGAATTACGTAGTAAAACTAATGCTGCTACTTCCAACTAAATTGCTCTAAGGGCGATCATGCGTCATAAGCTGACTTACTAGTCACTTGGAATGAAGACAATTAGGAAAAGCAACTAACGTTGACCAATCCTAGCTTTTTTATGAAACATTTACTCAATCCTAATAATCCATACAAGTGGACGATTCCAAAAGTCAACTAAAGTACAAATATCTTTTGAACATGGATAGACGAGTACACCACATATTTAGCACTTCAATAACGGTCAAAGGCGGGTGGTCGTCCTCCTCCCCTACGAGGGCGGTCATATGGTCCCACTCTATCTCTGTTGTAGTTTCTTCCCTCATGCCGTGCTGGTCCTCCAGCTGCGTACCTGTCGCCACCTCGTGGGCCTACATCCCTGTCGGAATCCCTCTCTTTGCCATAACCATTCTGAGGGTATCGGTCAGAAACGCCATACTTGCCAGCAAAGCGATCACCACCAGGAGGGTTGTACCTAAATACCATTAGAAGTCATTTTTGATAAGACAGGAAAAATTTGGATCTCTAACACCAACCAAGAACGTGAAAAAACTAAACCATCACACCTGTCATTAGCAATTCGATCACGGCTTCCATATCTATCATCTCTGTGATCATAGCGGTCCCTATCAGCATGATGCCCTCTATCATATTGATCATCCATGTATCGATTGTCACTACCATAACGATCCCCACGTGCACTACCTCCAGCATACCTTGATCGAGGAGGGGGGGATACTGCACGTGCACTGCGGCCACCACCTTCTAATGGACAGTCTCTAGCCCAATGGCCTGGGCGGCCACACTTGAAGCAATTGTCTGGCCCTGCTGACCTGTCACCCCCACCATAGCTGCCCCTGCCACCTGATGAGTAAGCTCCACTATAGCCACGGTCAGAATCTTCACCACCACCCTTTGGTTGGGCCCTGTTCACAGAGATCACCTTATCACCAAGCTCCCTACCGTGCATTTCTCTGATTGCATCTTCCATGGCGCGACGGTCAGCAAATGTTAAAAACCCAAATCCACGAGGACGGCCTGTATCTCTTTCCATCATAACCTACAGTACTTACAGTTTAGAGACTAACACCTGACAAACACATCAAGCTAAAGACCTAACCTATTAGAAGCCCATGAAAATATACAAGGACGTGACATTCAAATTGATATTTATCATTAAAAAAAATTGATAATTAGGAGTAGGAGTTCAGATACAAAGCACAATTTAGGAGTTCAGCTTCACTCTTTCACAAGCAAAATCTGAAGTAAACAGTGAACTGCATACCTAGAATTACTGATGAAATCTCACTTAGCAAAATTATAGCAATGCAAAGTAGCATTCCTAGAGAATGTTCCCTGGATTATATAGCAATAGCTGGAACACAATATTACGTAGACCATCCCTAGCTAGGGGTGTCAATGGATATTTAAAAACCGACTAAACCGACCGAACCGTACAGAACCGAACCGATTTTTAGGTTTCTTTTAATAAAACTGTAGGTTTTCATATAAATCTATAACCTTACCGATAATTAGGGTAGGTTTTTTATTTTCTGAAAATTAACCGAAAAAATACCGAACCGTACAAAACAAATTTACAAGAAAAAAATATATTTATACATTAAGTTTAAAAAATAATAAAATATTATTTTTTTGGGGCCTTGAAATTATGAAAACGGTTACAAGGCCAACAAGTAATTAAACTCAAAATCCTAATTCCCAAACTATTATACTATTGTTGAAACTAAATTATTTCCAGCATATTCACTAGCCAGACACTAGCCAGACACAAGGTATTCTACCGATTATGAGTAGCAACCTACAATGTATTGAATATTTTTTCTTCCATATGATCTAAATTTATATTTTCGAATATTTAATCTTCTATAGACTTTATTCTTGAGTCCCAACTTACTTAATATCTCTCCACTAGTGTGGATTTATATTTTCTTTGTCTTTTCTTAGTTTCTTTTACGCTGCTGTAGAATAGTTGATAGATCTATACTCTGGCCATCTTTTATGTTTTCTTAATTCATCACCCTTTAAACAGTAAAAATGTTATAGAGAGTTTTGATAAGTCCTATAAAAGTATGAATGTTGTTGTATTCTGCTTCTGAAGGTGACTTTTAAGTGACATTCTAAAAAATACCGAAAATTAACCGAACCGTACCGATACCGAAGAGAAACCGATATGATTGCTACGGTTTTTAAAAGTCTAATTTTTGTTATACATAATAGAATAACCGAAAAATTAGTATGGTACAAATTTTATAAAATAACCGGCCGAACCAAACCATTGACACTCCTATCCCTAGCTAGTTTAATCGCTCGGCACTCCATTCACAGTGAACCATCAACCAAATTCAACAGAGCTGGGGATCTCAACCTCGTTACTTCACGTTCCAAATTGCTCAGATGAGATCCATCTTAAAAAACATGCCATTATGTGATGACCTGAACCTGTTTTTTTAGGATGAAGACACGATCTGAACTTTCAAGAGCAGTAGTTAACATAGAATAGCCACTAATTCAACTAAACAATTCATCTCAAAATCTAAGTCCATAATAGGCAAGAAATGCAGGCACAAACTTCATAGTTCATAGAAAGGTTGAACTTGGAGCTCCTCACAACAGTATCAGAAGTTAATTTTGAAAACAGAATGGAAGGCACATACCTATCCTAATGCTTCAGACCATTTCTAGGGCTCTCTCTAAAACCCTTCCACGTTCAACTTGATTAATACTTGATGACCTTCATGACTTCATTTACCTCTGGGGAGTGCTAATGGAGAAAGTGCTTGGTTTTGGTCAAAAGCATGACAAGGATCCTAGAACTTCTAAGTTAATTCTAACAAATTTTCAATATAGCTATACGATGAATAAATCATCTAGATGTGGATTTCATGTGATAACTTCAACATTTCATCACAATATCACAGCATTCTTTTTTGGGTAATAATATAAAACACCACATATATTTTATTAATGCATCACTCTGCCCATGGAGGCAAGAGTCACACTATCAGGCAACACTACCAATTCTTAGTTGCTTGTGCACTTGACATTGAACTTTGAATTTTTGTGTACTTAACTCAATATAGACTTCAATTCTCCAAGTTGGATCCCAAGTCTACAACTATGCGCATGCAACAACTTCACAAATCTCACGTAAGTAAATGAAAATAAGTAAAGCTTGACTGCTGCAAGTTTTCTTATTAATCACCTCATCGGTGTGAAAGGAAAGAAACAAAAGCATATTAGCAAGCAAAGATCTAGGAATATAAAGTTACTTGGGCAGAGGAAGTCTTACTTGGGCAGCAGAAATCTGCAGGTCTGCAGATTACCATCCTCTGACCCATTAGATTAACACAGACCACATGTATCCAGTGGAACCAATACCATTAACAGCAAAAACAACAAAACCAAACAAGGATCCTAACCTCTTGGGTAATCTTAATTATACCGATTAGAACTTTTGTATGATCCATAAACTTACTCCATTTACTTCAATCAGACTAACAAGCAAAAGTACTGCAGAGGTATGTCTAAGCAACAGGTGGTTCAGCACCTTTCAGGTGGTCCTTCATAAAACTTCTAATGAACATCATTCCGCTTTTTGAACAGTCCAAAACACTGATATTCATTTAGCAATCTTTTTAAGCACAAGCTCAACTAATCCTCATTAAAGAAAATTTCCAACGTCCCAATTTATGCCTTCTGCTATCAAGGCATCAAAGCAGATAAGGAAAAATCAAAAGAGCTGATCCACTTTGATCCTTCAAAATGCAATTCAGACAGAGAAGACTATGAAGCTAGCCAACTAATCTAGAGCAATAAGCCATGAAACATAACACTCTGAAGGTGCTAACTTGGCTGAAGCAACGCTGCTAATGAATCTTGACAGGCCTGTCATCGTCTGGTGGTCCACGGTATGACAGCATTGAGCTTGCTCAAGAGAAGAACATCTCATGACGGCAAAACGATCATTCAACGAAGTAAAACAGAATAACTATAGAAGGAGAACGAGACAGAAGCGCATCCAGACTCCGCAGACAACAGCTTCTAAATGGCTCCAAAAATGTCAAGAAATCATGAATCACGTTCAATCTTGACAGTGGCAAACCACCAAGTAAAAACAAAATGACGAGCACAAGGGAGAATGAGACAGAAGCGCATCCAGACTCTGCACACAACGACTTCTATAGTGCTTCAAAAGTGTGGAGAAATCAAGAATCATGTCCAATCTCGACAACAACAAGCCACCAATTAAAACAGAATGAGCGATAAGTGGGAGAATGAAACAGAAGTGCATCCAGACTCTGCACATAACAGCTTCTAAAGGTCTTCAAAAGTCAAGAAATTAAGAATAATGTTCAACCTTGGAAGTGGCTCATGTAGAGACAGGAGATTAGCTAAGTACCACATAGCTTCACGACAACCTTTTTCCCTGAGGATTCTTTAGAACAAAGAACAGGTGTCCTATACATCCCAAACATGAGGTAGCGGATCGGATGTCGTCTAATATAGATCCTTCCTAGTTATAAATGGGAATGTAAAAATTTAAATATTCCCATAAAATTTTTAAAAAATGAAAGGAAGTCCTTATGCTTCTCTCGTTTCGAGCACCAAAGATCTTATCTTAACCTGTGCAGCCACTTGACGGTCAAAAGAACTCACCTTTACAAAGTAGCAAACTGTAGTGGCAGATCAACTAAAAAGAGAGTGTTATTACCATGCAGAACCACTTAGATTCTCATAAATCTGGTGTCCGTTCAACATAACACTATGACCCAAATTCTAGTAAAACAACTGCCAACAACCTTCAATAATATTGGTTCTGCTAGCCTCAAGAACAAAAGGTGCCATTCACAGAAACTGCCCACCAACTTAACTTGAAAAATGTGGAGAAGTGGAAATTAGACTCTGAGCTAGATTGCATATCCAAAATTTGTCTCTTGATTAACCCCTTCTTTTCTTAATATCAGGAACCCCAGAATTGCTTGCAATTGATTAAGCACCTTACATCAAGAGATAACTTACCTCCTCAATTCCCACATTTGACACGCATCACGAAAATACATATATTTATGGGATAGTAACTGCCACTTGACTGCTAAGCATTTAACTTCGATTGAGGAAAAGTCTTAAAACTAATGGTGATTCCACCTAGTCAGACCACCTATGATGCACTCAGTCCACTTATTCCAATCATCTTCCATGAAGTCTAAAGCCCAAAATACAAATGCCCCTTGAAATTTTACAATTAGCAGGTGGTTGAACCAGTTTAAGGCACCAGAGCAGAATTGTGAATCAAATGCAATCAGCGTTAGGGACGTACTTCTGAACAAGTCACTGCCGCAATTGAAACCAATAGTGCTTGCCATTGTTAACATGCAGTCGATCTAAGCTTTTTCCGGATACTCTACCAAGTGAAACCTCAAAAACATGCTGCTCAAAAGAATCAAGTACTTATGTCCAGCAACTTCGCACATTCCAATGAACAGAAAACATCCCCCATACAATTTCATCTAAGGCATCTCAAACCCATCAACTGGCATAACCAGATCCAGAAATATTAAAGGAAAATTAATTAATAAATGATGAATTAATTAATAAATGAAGAATATAAAATGAAAAGTTGGAATTAGCATGACTTAAGCACTCAACTCGAAGCAATGTAACCAAATTGAAAAATTCAAGAATGACCCAACTTTCCTATAGAGCATAGCACCACAAAGCATATGAAGAGAGAAAACCAAAAAAAGCAAAACATAGGACTGTTTCCGGTGCTTAGCTTCATGTATAAGACAAACAAAGTCTGCAGTTATTAGTACAAGCTACAAAGGAGAATGCTATAACTTCCACCACATAACATCCAATATACAGTGATAGCCTTGTCCTTATATATTTCTTGACCAGTAAAAGTAGTAATATTATTAGATGGAGAAAAACAAGCACCAATTATGTATCAAGACACAGCAACAGCACCAATATATGCCATTGTTTAACATGCTGTTGTATAGGGTTCTTAACATCTTTTTTCTTTTCTTTTTTAAACTGGAAAAATGTAAAAAATCTTGCATACAAATAATAAAAGGAGTTTAAAATGAAAGAAAATGGCCTGAGGATATGCACGGTTACGCGCTTTGCAAAAGTAGAGTTCTTTCTTGGAAATTTTTTTTTTGAAGTTTTTTCAAGGATAAAAAACCATCCGTGCTAGAACAAAAGGTCCCATTCTTCATAGAAAACCGTGAGTGTCATTTAACCTTTTCTAAAAACAACTCCCTCCCTTTTCAAGGATAAAAAAACATCCGTGGTAGAACAAAAGGTCCCATTCTTCATAGAAAACCGTGAGTGTCATTTAACCTTTTCTAAAAACAACTCCCTCCCTTCCAATTTATCCGGCAACATTTCCTTTTCAGTCTGTTATAAGAAAAATGACAGTTTTCTAAGTTTGGAAACAATTTAACTTAAATTCTCACTTTATCCTTAACGAGAAGCTTTTATAGCCACACAATTAATATGAAACATTTTTTTTGATAAAGTATGTTATGAATTGTTTAAGATATCAGGTTTCAGAAGTCTTATAACCACACAAATATTATGACACGTTTAAGACCACATGTTTCAAAAATCTTTCCTTTCTTTCTTAACCTTGTGCCTATTCAAACTTTGCCACATAAAATTGAAATTATTTATAATTTAGACAAATTCTAAACTTACAAAAAATACAGGAAAAGGGTAAAAACGCACATTAATAAAGTTGAAAACATTGTGCAGACATAAGAACACACAGTAATACAATACATACACTAAATCCTCAAAAATGACGAAAATTTCGCATAAAGAATTCGAGGAAAAAACTGAATCCTGGGAAATTACGAACCTGACAATCGATAACTTTACCATAACGGCCAAAAGCGCTTTCGAGTTGACGGTCCGTTACGTCCCACGCTAACCCTCCCACGAATATACGATAATCTTGATCCTTTCCTGACATTTGAACCTGAAATTGAGGGGGCAAATCAATTATAGCAGCAAAAACAAAACCCTAGATATCAACTGAGTTCAAAATTAGAGTGAATTAGAACTTCAACTAAGCAAAGAGAGATATACCTAGTTATGTACTGCGAGTGAATTTCCCAGAGTAAAACGGGAGCTGCTTGATTTTTTTCGCTATAGGGTTTGTACAAATAACTTGCTTGGTTTTTTACATTGAGGTACTTTTATTTTGTGTTTAAATATATTGCAGTACCATGTCCTCGTGGTTTTACTAAATAACAAATATGTCCTATACTTTTGATAAAAAGAGGTTTTAAGCTCCTTTGACCCGCTTAAAAGTCAATTCAAACACCCACTATTTTGAAAAGTGCTTTTCAACGAGAAGCAATTTATGTTTAGTAATCAAGTTTGAAAAGTATTTTTAAGCAACAAGTAGTGTTTGTTAAGCTTTTAAAGAGTATTTCTTAAGTCTATTTTTTCAAAAAAATATTCTTGGGGAGAAGCTATATTTTTCAGCTTCTCAAAAATAATTTTTACTTTTACTCAAAAGCAGAATTTTTTCATTCCAAATACTTGGTCAAGCACCTTCTAAATAAACTTACTATTACTACATGATTTGTTCCTTTATTTTTTTGAACTTAAGCAAATTGAATAATATTCACAATAGACATGATGTTTAACAATCGTTGTGGTTTTATGTCATTCAATTGACGTTTAAATTGAGTGAATTCATTTATATAAGTTGGGTCTATTAGTATGAGTTTTCATTTAAAATTTAGATTTATGAGTCTATTTCATCCATATATCGAATATTTTGTCTCTATAAAGTATCAATAGGTTCACTTTATCAAAAATATAGTCAAACCTCTCTATAACAGCCTCGTTTGTTCCGAATTTTTTTGGCTGCTATGGTGATGTGTTATTATAGAGGACATATTAATGGATATAAATTATTCATATATTTTAATATAAAAATATAATATTTTAGATATAAATCATGAGCAATTTATATCTTATTCTCGCACTTTTCTAACAATTCTCGCAGGAAAAAGAATACATGGGAAAAGAGAAAAAGAAAGAACTTAAAGTTCAATGAATAAGGATCCATCTGTGACAACTTCATCTAAGACTACACAAAGTCAAGAGATACAAAGTTATGGCAAATTCTCACCAAATTTTCATGACAAATTGTCATGTCAAATTCTCATCAAGACCATATGATATATGAATATTGTCTTGCAAGTTCTCATCAAGGCCTCATAGGAATTCTCCTATAAATATGCATATGTTTGTAGAAGAAAGGCATCCCACTTTGTATCCAATTTCCTATCTAGTTTTCTATTGAGAAAGAAAAGAGTAATCTTGGTCTCTTTATCTAGTCTTTTTCTTTGTAGTAAAAAATATTCTTAGTCTTTGGAAAGTATTTTTTTTTAGCTTTTCTTACTTCATAATGGAGTAATTTTTATGTGTTGGGATAGTTGATGAAGCTTGATATAATTATAATACTATCTCAGTTTCAACACATTCTTGGCTTGAAACTTTATATTTACATTTCATACTATGCTAGAATAATGATTTTTAGTCATTATTATCACATCTATATATTTTATATCTAAGTTATTCTTATATTAATTTTGTAATTCTCACGGAGCAAAATTAATATATAATAACTGATGAATAAAATATTAGAGTGAGAGTAACTTTTAGTAAGATTATTATTTCAAGTCTGTAATCTTGCTTTCCTCAGTTTTAATTCTCACGGAGAAATGATTGAAGGCAAGATTATTAACTTTCTAGTAAAAATATTTTTACAAAATTTTTACTACGCTTGAATATAATTCAGGCAAGATTATATCAGTTGAACCGTCACTACTTTTAAATCAATTAATTAACATAACCTCACGGGGTGTTAATTATTTATTTCTTAGTGTAAAAATATGATTGTATTTGCAATAAGCAATTATTCTTTAGAGAAATACGTATAAAGCTAAGATCTTATTATAATGATATATCAAGTGAATTCAATGATTCCCAACTCTTTTTAAATAGAAACCTTTCGGAAGAAATTTGTCTTAATTTATAATAGCAAACACACCTTTCATCAATTGATTCTCTCAAATAGTAGTCAAAAAATTACAAGTATGTAGCTTAGATTCTCCAATTTCTGTGGGACGATATCATAAACTATACAAGAATTTGACAGAGTACGAGCAGAAAATCTTATACACATTAGCTTCGTTAAATTTTTAGCGATGTTACCGGGGATTGGCACACATCTACTTCAGATTAATTATTTTATTACTAATTTGATAATTTATTATTATTATTATTATTATTATTAATTTTCATTAAAAATTTTATCTCCTAAATACTACTATCATAACTATTATTATTATTAGGAGCATTTTTATATAATACTATTTAAAAAATCCCTCATAATCAGTACTGCAATCTACTTTATTTTATATTTTATTATTATTGTTAGTACTAACACATATATATATATATATATATATATATATATATATATATATATATATATATATATTAGTTTTGTGGTCACAATCTCACTATATTTGTATTCATCATTTTTCTTTAATATATTTTATTCTTTTGTTACTATTATAATGGTAAGTAATTGTTTTTACTATTCTAGTGTTAAAAGTATCCTTTGTACTATTACTATAACTATGACTTGTACTATGTTTTTATAGAATAATATTTTATTGTTTCAATCTCTTTAATTGATAGTACTTCAATCATTCAACATGCTTGATTTATTATTGACGCCTTTTTTATATTTTATAAATTTGTTAAATTACTACTATACTTTTACTTACGAATCATTGCACTTCCTTTCTAATCGCTATTATTTATTAGTTCTTTTTTCCATATAATATAATTAGTAGTATATTATTTCTTTTGATAGTTAGTTACAACTTAATATTTTAGTTAATTATAATATTACCGGACTATTTTAATTTTTTATCTATTACTACTTTAGGAACTTTCTTTATTTTACTTTAATTTCAGATAGTTTATGACCCGCTCTTCTACAAAAAAGTTGGCCAATTACTGTAACGATTCGATCGGTCATTTTGAGATCCAGCACGTCGTTCAGCGGTATGAGGCCATGAGCAGCCTCACATCAGGTATTATGACTTGAACGCGTAGTCGGAATTGAAATTCGGGAAGTTCGGAGTTGATTTGGAAAGAGAATTCTCATTTCGGAAGCTTAATGTTGGAAGAATCTGACTAAGGGTTGATTTTGAGTAAACGACCTCGGAATCGAGGCTTGAAGGTTCCAACAGGTTCGTATGATGATTTTGGACTTGGGCGTATGTCCGAATTGGATTTTGGATGGCCCGGGAGCATTTCGGCGCCTATTGTGAAAGTTAGCATTTTGGGAAGAATTTCATAAATTTGGGTTGCAGTGCATTTTAATGTTTTCAATGTTCGTCTGGGATTCTAAGCCTGGGAATAGCTCCGTATGGTAATTCTGGTATTGGGAGCGCGTCCGGAAGTGGATTCGGAGGTCCGTAGGTCATTTTGGAGTCATTTGGCGAAAGTTAGAAATTTGAAGGTTTTTGAGAAGTTTGGCCGGAAGTGAACTTTTTGATATTGAGGTCTGATTCCGATTCTGGAAGTTGGAGTAGGTCCGTAAGGTCGAATGTGACTTGTGTGCAAAATTTAAGGTCAATCGGACGTGATTTGATAGGTTTCGGCATCGAATGTAGAAGTTTGAAGTTTTAAAGTTCATAAAGCTAGAATTGGAGTGCGATTCATGTTTTTAGCGTTGTTTGATGTGATTTTAGGCCTCGAGCAGGTCCGCATTATATTTTGGAACTGGTTGGTGTGATTGGACGGGATTCCGGGGGCCTCGGGTGGATTCCGGGTGGTTAACGGATTGAAATTTGAAGTTGATGAAGAACTGAAGCAGCTGGGCATCTGGTGTAATCTGTCACGACCCAATTTTCCCTCCGTTGGGTATCGTGATGGTACCTAGTCTTAGGAGCTAGGTAAACCTAAAATACACTGAATAACAACAACAATAAAGAAAATCTAACAGTCTCGATATAGAAATTTTTGTAAAATTTGCAATTTCCCAAAGCCGGTAGTACAAGTCATAGCTCTACAGAGTTTGCTACAACTTCTAAATACAACTGTTTGGAAAATAAATAAAAACAGTGTGAATACAAAATAGGAAGGTGACTCTGAAGCCTGCGAACGCAGCAATAGGTTTACCTTGAGTCTCCTCAGCAACGATCGGCGGTGCTACTAGTGATCAAAATCTAGAGCTGTACAAAAATGTACAGAAGTGTAGAATGAGCACACCACAACGGTGCCCAGTAAGTATCAAGACTAACCTCGGTGGAGTAGTGACGAGGAACTGTGAAGACACCACCGGTCTAATAAACTGAACAAGTATAAGTATAGGAACAACAGAATATGATATCTACATAAAGACTATGCGATACAGTTAACAATACAGAAAATATCAATAAGGAAGGAAACAACAAGTATCAGCGGAACACCAAAATAATGACACAGAAGAGTGCACGGAAACAAAACCCAAGTCCGAAATCACGGATAGAGCAAGGAAAAGTAATGACTCAGTAACTACGGCAGTTTTCACCTCAGGTCTTAGTCAAAAAAACTCCCTGAAGTACCGAACCCTGGGGCAAATTACAACTCACGGGTCTCAATACCTCAACCCTAACACTTGGCATCCTGTGTCCTCATCACACCTCATGATCATGCTCACAACTCACGTGCCAAATAGAGCCACTCATACATATACGGCAAGCAAACAAGGGGGTGCATCTATATTCAACAATATCAAGAATACCTCTTATCCGTGTTTAACTACGTGTATGCTTGTGCAAGTGTCCTAACATGATTCATACCAGCTAGTAAGCAGAAGGAAAATAACGGACAACACGTAGAATGTTTCCTCACAACTTTCACAAGATAAAGCTCACACAGATGAGTGTACCGCCACACAAATAACAACAACAAGAATGCCCCCAGGCCATCACAAATCCTCACAATAAATCCCTGACATAGCCCACCTTGTCTCGCCACGTATGCAATAATAATATAGTAAGTGCCCGCTTTGTCTCGCCACACGTGCATTATAATATTTCCACCTTGTCTCAACACATGCGCAACCCATATATATATA